GTCTTCCTTTTTGCCGTTGGTTCACCCTCCAATGGCCGCCGCTGCAGCCGGCGCACCGCGCTGATCCTGGCAGGAGCCAGGAGCCAGGTGCTTTTCCTGGTCTCCCATGGGGTGCAGGGCCCAAGCACCTGGGCCATCCTCCACTGCACTCCCTGGACATAGCAGAGAGCTGGCCTGGAAGAGGGGCAACCGGGACAGAATCCGGCGCCCCAACCGGGACTCGAACCCGGTGTGCCGGCGCCGCAAGGTGGAGGATTAGCCTATTGAGCCACGGCGCCGGCTCTTTCCTGTTTTTCCTTACAGTTTTACCAACTGTTTGCATGCCCTCCACAATATATTGTTTAGCATTTCCTGGTCTTCAACCTTACATAAGTGGAACTGTAATGTTTTCTCTCGTGAGTTGCATCTTTTGCTCATTACGTTCCTGAGAGTCGGCTTTGTGAGATGCATGTGACCCTAGTTCATTCATTTTCAGGGATGGATAGCACTGAAATATATTCCACTACTATTAGACATTTGCATAACAGTTTATGCACCTTGCAAATGGTACTACCATGACTGTGGTTCATGCCTCTAGACGAACCTACGAAACGTTTTCTTCAAAGTAAGGAAACTGAAAGCGACTACATTAATTGATTTTCTAAACTTAAATGTTAGGCTAAACCTTCCTGGCCATATTTTGTTTAGGATGTTTGCATCTATGTTCATGAGGGACATTCATCTATAGTTTTCCTTATCATAGTGAATTTCTCTGGTTTTGATATCAGAGTAGAATTGGCTTCATAGAATACACTGGCACATAGCTCCTCTTCTTCAATTTTCTGGAGTAGCCTGTGCAAAATTGATATAATGTTTTGTCTTGATGTATAGGTAGAATTCATCCAAGATGGTATCTAAGTCTGCAGTTTTCTTTGTGGGAAGCATTTAAATGTGAATTAAAATTATATATACATATATATATATATATATAGGTTCTTTCTGTTTCTCTCCCTTACTCTCTCCCTCCTTCTTCAGATATAAATTTGAATATTTTATTGCCGTCTCACGAATTTTGCTAAAATTAATTTTAATTTTTACTTAAATAATTATCTTTTGAAAGTATTTAAATATTAAGAAAAGGGTATGTATTGACCCACAAAGTTGCCATTCCAGTGCCATTCATTTGTCTGTATAGATCCATATTTGCATTCAGTATTATTTTTCTTCAGTCTAAAGGACATCTTTTAGTATTTCCTATAATGTCGTTATGTTCATGATTAATTCTACTGGCTTTTCTATGTCTGAAAAGCTATTTATTTTATTCTTATTTTAAAAGACACCCTCTGGATGCATTTAAGGTTTTAATTTTTATCATTTTTTGGTTCTGATGTGCCTGAGTGTCATTTTCTTCTTGTTTCTTTTTTAATTTGAAAGGCAGAGTTACAGAGAGAGAGAAGGAGACATAGAGACATATTTCATCTGCTACTTCACTTCCCAAATGTCCACAATGGCTGGAGTTGGGCCAATCCAAAGCCAGGAGCCAGTAGCTTCTTCCAGATCTGCCACGTGGGTGCAGGGGCGCAAAGACTTGGGCCATTTTCTGCCGCTTTTCAGGGTGCATTAGCAGGGAGCTGCATTGGAAGTGGAGCAGCTGGGACGCGAACCAGCATCCACATGGGTTGCTGGCACTGCAGGAGACAGCTTTGCCTGCTACGCCACAGTGTTGGCCCCTCTTCACGTTTCTTGAACTTGGATTCTATCAAGCTTCTTCTTTCCATGTATTTATATTTCATCAAACTTTGAAAATTTTTGATCATTATTCCCTCAAATATTTTTTCTGCTCCCCTCATCTTTTGAGATCTGATATTTATTGGGCTGCTTGAAGTTGTCCCACAGCTGACTGATTCTGTTTCCTTTTTTTTTTTTTTTAATTTTCTTTCTTTAGTCTTTTTTCCTCTGTGTTTCATTTATGGACAGTATCTATTGTTTTTTTTTTTAAGATTTTATTTATTTATTTGAAAGTCAGAGTTACACAGAGAGGAGAGGCAGAGAGAAAGGTCTTCCTTCCGTTGGTTTACCCCCCAAAAGGCCACTACAGCCGGAACTACGCCGATCCAAAACCAGGAGCCAGGTGCTTCCTCCTGGTCTCCCATGCAGGTGCAGGCGCCCAAGCACTTGGGCCATCCTCCACTGCCCTCCCGGTCCACAGCAGAGAGCTGGCCTGGAAGAGGAGCAGCCGGGACTAGAACCTGGTGCCCATATGGGATGCCAGCACCTCAGGTGGAGGATTAGCCAAGTGAGCCATGGCGCCGACCGCAGATAGAATCTATTGTTATGTCTTTCAATCTGTAATTCCTTCTCTGCCATTAATCCTATTGAGTGTATATTTGATCTCTGACCTTGTAGTTTTCATCCCTATAAATTTCAATTTAGGTCTTCTTGTATATATGCCATGTCATTACATACTGGGTTCATTTGTGTCTGGACCTTTTTGGATCTATGGAATACAGTTATAGGAACTCCTTTTCATTTCAGTGCTGATCATTTTAACATTGTGGCTGTCCTAGATTGGATTTGATTAGTCCACTTTTCTCCTCATTCTAGGTTATTTTCTTCTTCTTTTTTATATGCTTAGATGTCCTACATTGTGCATTTTACCATACTGTGTGCTGGATTTTTTTTTTTTTGAAGATTTATTTGTTTATTTGAAAGGCAGAGTTCCAGAGAGGCTGATAGAGAGAGAGAGAAAGGTCTCCCATTCGCTGGTTCACTCTCCAAATGGCTACAACGGCCGGAGCTGGACTGATCTGAAGCCAGGCACCAAAAGCTTCTTTTAGGTCTCCCACACGAGTGCAGGGGTCCAAGGCCTTGGGCCATCTTCCACTGCTTTCCCAGGCCATAGCAGAGAGCTGGCTCAGAAGTGGAACAGTTGGGACTCGAACTGGTGCCCATATCAGATGCCGGCACTGCAGGCAGTGGCTTTACTCACTATACCACAGCACCAGACCCTGGATATTTTTTAAAAATAGTTTACTGAGATACAATTCACATACCATGCAGAATTCATCCATTTGAAGTATCCAAGTTGTAGCATGTATCAGTACTTTTCTCCCTTTTGTGGTTAAATTGTATTTTTTTTTGTCTATGTATTACACAGTTTAGTTATCTTTCCATCCAGTGAATTGTTCACACATTTTTGTTATCATTAATAATGCCACTATAAACATTCATGCACAAGGTTTTGTGTGGGTATGTTCTGTCATTTCTCTTGAGTATATACCTAGGAATACAATAACTGGGTCATATAGTAACACTTTTTTAAAAAGATTTATTTATTCAAAAGGTAGAGCTACAGAGGGGACAGAGGGGGCAGAGAGAGAGAGAGAATATGAGAATCTTCCATCCACTGGTTCACTCCCCAAATGGCCACAATGGCCAGTGCTGGGCCAGGCTAAAGCATGGGTGGTAGGGGCCAAGCACTTGGGCCATCCTTTGCTGGTTTCTCAGGCATATTATTGGGAGCTGGATAGGAAGTGGAGCAGCCATGACATAAACCAGTGCTCATTTGAGATGCTGGCATTGCAGGCAGTAGCTTAACGTGCTACACCACAATGAAAGCCAACTTTGGGTTTAATTGAAGAACTGCCAGGCTCATATCCAAACTGACTGTGCCATTTTCCATTTGTATCAGCAGTATATGAGGGATCTGATTTCTCTGCATTCTTGCCAACAACATTCTTATTATTTTCAGACATTTCTATTCCAATCAGCCTAGTGGATCTGAAGAGGTTTCTCTTTGTGGCTATGATGTACATTTCCCTGATGACTAATGATACTGAATAGTTTTTCATGTGATTACTAGCTATTTATATATCTTCCTTGGGGAACTGTCTAGTGATTCTTGGTACATTTTTTGGAAGAATTGTTTATATGTTCTAGATACAAATCCCTTATGAAATGATATGCAAATATTTTCTCACATTTTGTAGGTTGTCTTGTCACTTTCTGATAGTGTTCCTTGAAGCAAAATCGTTCTTAATTTTGATTAATTGAATTTCTTTTTTGTTTTGTTCCTCAGCTTTAGTGTAATATTTAAAATTCCTTTGCCAACTCCAAGATCATGAAGATTTACCCGTATGTTTTCTTTTAAGGGTTACACAGTTTTAGCTCTTACATTTAGGATTTGTCCAATCCATTGTGAGTTAAAAATTTTGTGCATGGTGTGAGATAACTTCATTATCCTACATGTGGATATCCAATTGTCTCAGTATCATTTGTTGAAAAGATAATTCTTTCTCCATTGAATGTTCATGGTATCAGTGTTGAAAATCAGTTGACCATGGATGTACAGGTTAATTTCATGACCCTCAATTCTATTTATTGACCTATATCTCTGTGCTTGTACTTGTACCACTATGTATTGATTACCATTACTTTGTAGTAATTTTGGAGATTTTGAAATGTATATTTATGCTTCCTTTTCAGTACCGTTTTGACCATTCAGGGCCCCTTAGAATTCCATATGGTTTTTAAATAAGTTTGTCAATTTCCTGAGAAATCAACTGGGATTCTAATAGAGATTATTTTGAATCTGTAGACCAAAGGATATATCCATCTCAGCGATGTTGTCTTCTGATCCATGAATATGGGATATTTTCCAACTTATTTGGATCTTTAATTTCTTTCAAATTTTTTTTAAGTTTTA